TCTCTCAAAATATCAACCATGTGTGAAAGCAGTCGCCCGCTGAACTGATGCTTTGACTTTTGTTTTTTGTTTCAGTTGTCCTGCTTAAAAAAAAAAAAAGTATCTGCGACGGCTTATCAAAGCCCACAAACCAACAGTATGAAGCGCAATTAGACATCAACAGCTATTAAAGCTCATTTGCAGTATCAACATAGTATTTCACAAACTATGCACATTCTATTGTGGATCGGGCGGACGATAAAGACCCTCCTTGGAGATTGGGGCAAATGGCTTAATTTTGGCTTTTCAGACTCACCGATAGTGAGCTGTGCTTGTGCCTTAGGTGCTCCGCTTTTTATGCCGCTTAGCCGTGCGCTATCTCAGCCTGAGATCAGAACACGCCAACAAAGAGTCAGCGTTCGTATCGACAAATAGATCCCGAGGTCAACGGGGGGTATAGAGGTGGGTTGGGCGGGGGGTGGGGGATTGTTCAAGCTGGAGTTGTTGAGTCAGGCCAGAATGCCTCATCAGTGCCAAGTTTTATTATGTTGTAGGTCCATTGCAAGCGCGATCTCTGAGTGTGTGGCATTGTGGAGGACATCCAGATGGTTAAGATGGAATTCCCTGATTGTTATTGAGAGCTGAATCCAACCGGTCCTGAAGTGATCACTATCAACCGGCGCTCCTTGAAGCACACAGCTATTCATTAAAGATGCTTATCGCACGGGGCTGAGGTGAGAGAAAGGTTTTCGAGGGCAAATCACTTGGTTGCATCTCAGGCAGGCCAGGTTGACATCAATCTACGCAATTAAAGAGACTTCAAACAATATCCGCGGGCATCGTTTTTGGCTTTTCCCTGGAAAATGCAGGGCTGGTGTGTCGCATATTTTAGCATGCACGCGCGAATACAGAAACAAGTTCCTTCACACAAAACTAAATACCGCGGCATTTAACAGGAGATCAAGGCAACCCTGCAGGAATTAGACACGTCCAACTACCTTTGGAACTAAGTGTAGCGTGGGCCAGCGATTATCTCTGTGAATGTCACCTCATATTTCATTTAATATGAAAGCTGATTGGCAGCTTTCAGGTGTCTAAGTCTTCGTCTGTCACCGTACGTTTGTTGCATCTCTGTTGGTTGGTCACTTGTATGCTTGAATAAGCCGTGGCCTTGAGTCACTTCGGTTTTGCTCCTACCTGTTATGACTATACCTTCATTAAAATGTCCGTATGCGCACGCCTAATCTGATACCAGGAAGTGAGCATGTCTCCGTGGTGGCAGGACTCAGCAGCAGAGGGCTCCCTTTCCACGCAGAGTAATTGCTTCGATATTGCTTAACACCCGAATAAACTGATTTAAATTTGCATCACACAAGGCAAATGTTTTGAAACGTCTAAAGTCTGATTCAATCGATGCCTTCCCTGACCTGCGGGTCTGTTTCGGTCCAGCACGAGCGCCAATAGGGGATGAGTCTCATAAACAACGCACCCTCTCCTGCCACCAGCTAGGATGACAAATGATGGCTGTCACCTGGCACGGTAAAAATACAGTAATTTTAAATATTGATCTTGAATCTCGGGCCTGTGAGGAAACTGCATGTTCCGCATGTTTGCATATGTTTTCTCTTGGTACACGGGCTTGCTAGAACTAGACTATATTGTCTATGTTCGTGAAGTTGAGTGTGAATGGTTGTCGCTATGCGCCTTGCCATTGACGGGTTCAGCCCAAAGTTAGCTGGAAAAGGCGACATCTCATCCACAATCTGAATGAGGACAAGCAGCAAAGAATGGGGACACGAAGTCAAGGGAGTGGACTTTTTACTTCTGTTCCTGTTGCTTCTTCTTTTTCCTCATAATGGATTCTTTGTTGCCCAGGAAACAGCAAAGACAGCGTGACTTGCATATTGCGATATTTGTCTACTCTCAAGCGTGACAACTGACGCATCTTGATTTTCGTGTCAGTGCCAGACTCGTTTTGCTTATTTTGCAGTCAGGCAGACTGCTCTGCGCCATTTTGAGCGTTCTCGGGTACTTAGGGCAGTTCCTTGGAAGTGAGTCCGGCGCACCTGACAAGTTGGTGACTAAGCATTACTACACCTGCTGCAACCTGCCTAATTTGGTAGTATAACACGATTTAGGTGATTTCGATCTGAGCAGACAGGCAGACAGATTCTGCGCTCCACATATCTGTGTGGTGATGTCGTGGTAGTTCATTTATAAATACGGGCATGTATTAAACATTCAGTCACTGTAGAATTTAATTCATTGAATGCATCATTATTATTAGTAGTAGTAGTATTACTCGTAGTTTTTCGTATTTTTATTTGCCATGTCAAGGACTGCGCCTCTCATGTGCCTATTTTAAAGACGTGCTTTGATTTGCAACGAATCAAGTCAGCTGAGTTCACACGCTTAATTGCACAAAACGCCTGTTAATAACTGCAAAATTACCTCAACTTTTATCTAGCCGACATACAGGCAGAGTTTGACAGCTCACTGTGCACTGGGCATGAAAATAGAGCCCATACTGTATGATACTAATCTTGCGGATTCAGCAAAATAAAAAGTGAAATTGTGTCGCACTACATTTCTGAGAGCAAGCTGAAAACAGATTTCAGAACAAATAAATAAAAACACAAACACAAACAAGGGTTGTGTCCAAATTCACAGGCTGGGTCCTCCGAAGGTCTCATTTTCAGTCACGGGACGTCACTTCCAATGCGACTAGACTTCACGTGGTGTCCAAACTCACATGAAGCCTGTCCAAATTCGCCAAAGCTTTATGGAGGCTAGATGAGGAGGAGACATTGAATGTGTCGGAGGACGCAGCCTGCGAATTGTCTTTCTTGAATTTGAAAACCACGTCCGGTCGAACTGAACAAAAACGTGGCCTTCGGAGGACACAGCCAGTGAATTGGCACCCAGCAACAGACAAGTCTATTCACGCTCACATTCACACCTCTGGATGATTTTGAATCTTCAATGAAACTTAACCTTCACATGTTTTTGGAATGTGGGAGAAAGGCAAAATTTGAACCCCGAACCTCAAATCTCTGAGGCAGTTTTGTATTTTCATTGTTTGCGATATTTGCTGCTTAGGAGTTCCCCTGCCATTCATCTTCCTGTGGCTCTGCACAACGGACCAGCAACTCAAACTTTCAGCCACTCGCGATGGCTACTGATGTTGAAGCTTTTAAAGAAGAAGAAAGAGGAAGCATCAATTCTTCTGGTTGAAAAAGCAAGACCTGTGTCACCTAAGCATTGTGGAAACCTTCAGCAGCCTGCAGCATTATCTGGACAAACTAATATTTACTTCGGGACAGCGCAAACACACTCATTGACCCGGGCCTTTATTCAGTGCTCTGGCATTGTTGATGGATTAACTCAAATGTTGAAATCTAACTTCAAATCTTCATCTCGGTTTGATCTGAAGGATTCCCTTTTGCGGGGGCCATCGGGTACTTAAAAAGGAATTACGGCAAAGTTGGAGGCAAACAACATCAACTCGTGTTGACCCCAGGAATGAGAATCAAGCAAGAGTTGTGCCTTAACGTCACTGATCAGCTGTTGCACTGTCACTGCACACATTATCATGATCACAAACCTCCCACAAGGATGGAACAAATCAACAGCCGCCTGTTTCTCTCTCTTTTTTTTTTTTTTTAAGCCATGTTCAGAGGAGTAAGAGATTTGCTGCAGTTTAAACATGAAAAAGGCAAAATAACGAGTTGGCCTAAAGTGTGACCACAGTGTGGTGAATCTGTGTTTGGGTCAGGTCTGCTTTGAATAAAAACTGATCCCCCCCCCCCCACCCTCCCTAAATGTAGTCTCCAAAATTACACACTCTGAACATTGTAGGAATGCACAAGGCTTAAAGGTCCTCCTACTCACCAGTGTGTAATGAGAAACCTCTTGTCCAAGGGGTCGGTCAAGAAGGCAAACACCTGCAATGATGCGACAGGGGGACTTCCTTCAGCTCCCTTAAAGCTCCCTATCAACACCCAATTGACAAATTAGATTCCTGTGACATGCAATTCAAGGATGAAAGTAGACAAACCGTTTTGCTGCTCCGAATATGAAATTCAAATGCAGAAATGGAGGAGCAGAAGTCAATCAAAAATAAGTTATATAACCTTTTTATTCCTAATTAGCATTGTCAGCTGACCGTGACTATAAATGCTGAGTATTCTATTAAAGTTTGCCTGGGGTGGGTGTGCTGCATAACTAAATCCAAATATTGATTCTCTCAAAACATTTACAGCGGAAAAATGTGATGAACTGAAAAGTAATGATACAGCAATTCTGTGACGAAGGGGCCCACGAAGCAACCAATCAGATTGCTGTGAAGTTAAACCTTATTCGCAACTCTGCGACATATCTGCTTTGTGATTCAGGATTGCTATGATAGGCCATGATCAATGAACAATCAATGTATATGTATTTTTCATTCATTCATTCATTTTCCAATCCGTTTATCCTCACAAGGGTTGCGGGGGGTGCTGGAGCCTATCCCAGCCGTCTTCATGCAGTAGGCGGGGGACACCCTGAACCGGTTGCCAGCCAATCACAGGGCTATATGTATTATTTTTATTATGATAATAATAACAATTATTATTATATTATGCATGTCTTTGTTTTTCTTTTGTTTCGAATGAATTTCAAACAAGCAAAGGATACAAAAAAAACAACAAAACATGTTTAAACCTTCCATCCAATAGCTCTAACATTAAATTGCTAATATTCCCACCTGAGATTAGAAAACCTAGATTTAGTCTGATGATGTGTGGTTTGTTATTGTAACAAAATATAAATTGGCACGCTGGTACATCTTTATGCGGGTTTTTGCTTTTAATGACCAATTTGGGATTGCCCAAAAGTCACCCTGGGTGAAACGGAAACCCTAAGTGTGCTTATTTGTTTTCTCCTGCATGCATGTGTCAGGCAGATGACATTGGGTTTCACTTATGAAGAAGCTGAAACCTTGTTAACTTAGTCATGGATATGGATACATCCTCCTCATTATTAAGCCACTCAGAGCAGGAAGACCAGAAAAGCACTTCCTCTTTCATCTTGACACTCACCTTTTGTCTGTGTGAGCTACTGATGCTGTCAGTGGGTGAAGCTCATTTGCCATTTCCCATATCGCCTCACATTTGCAAACGCCTCAGACTCACAAACGTGCATAAAATGCTTTAAGATCTCACTATTATAAAATGTATATTGTATCAGTGGTATTGACATTTTACATGTTCCTAAATTCCAAATGGGCATATCTTATCTTACTGTAGAGTGAAAATGAGTGAACATTTGACACTCAAACTCGATGCCTCTGCTTTTATGAATCACAGACATTTTTCTACCTTAAATACAGACATGTTAAACTTTTTTTTCCCCATGCGCATCAATGGCATGTCTAATTAGCTTTTGTTGCAACTCAGTCTGTTCCAAGATGTTTGATTTACAATCAGCTCCCGTAGCTAAAGCGAGTGGAAGTGAACCCATGTTAAAATAAAACAAAAAAATATATATACATTTTGTACTCACCTTTAACTAATCAAGTGATGGTGACAAATGAGAGTGAGGTTCTGCTTCAAACAAAGAAAAACAAATGAAAAAAATCGGTTTCATTGTCAAAATACTGCATGTACATAACATACAAAAAACCTTTAAAAGTGGACACATACAAATAGATAGACAATATTTTTTTTAATACGTAATTATTATTAGTTGGGGAGAGCGGGAAAATGCTTATAGGTGGTGTACCCCTGGTTATTAAAAAACTTTGCGGGGTGATTTTGTGAAGCAATTAAAATGCCATGGATTATTCATTTTTTCTATTTTGGCTATTCCCTATCAGTCATTAAAAGTGGGCGTCCATTCTATAATATAGAGTAAACCATGAACTCACTTTAGTTTATATCGTGACGTTTTTTTTTCCTCTTTGACTGGCACTTGTTAGCATCACAAAAAAAAAAAAAAAAACGCACACAAGAAAGAAAAAAAGCAAATGCAAAGTACGCCGGTGATGTTTTGCTGCTCACTGATCTTAAGTCTAGTGACACCTCATGACATCATACATGATGGCTGTTTCGAACAAATGGGCTTCCTTCAAGGCGTATTTTGAAATGGTTCCCTCGGGAGAGTGTTCGTCTTTCAGTGTTAAACTGTCAAGTATTTTCATGTCGTCGTGATGTCATGAGTGCAGCTGTGCTCCCTTCCAGTGCGGTGGCTGTATCAGACCCTGCATTCACTTTCAAGTCATGTTTTCGCCATGCCAAATTAGCAGCCAGCCTTTGGGTCAATGCTGTGTGTGAGCGCTGAGATGGGAAAGCGCGTCTGAGTGAAAAGCCCCAATAGGAGCGGCATGCGTGTTTCTCCACAACTGGCCGCACACTGTCATCTTCAAAGCGTGGCCTTTTTTTTTTTTTTCTTGCTCTCTGGCTTGCAGATCCTGGCTGCTCATGAAGAAGGAAAACAAAAATATTGGCTGTTCGACTCCGATTATACTGTCAATGTGGGGACAGTCAGACAGTTTTATACATGTTTTACTGCATCCCGGATGTTTCTAAAGTCAATAGGTCATGTAAGTTAGTGTTTATTTAGACTTGAGCTTGTCCAACGTACCTTAAAATATGAGAGTTGATGTGGGCTGGCTGCTCCGTCTGGTACTGTTGTCACAACCAGCTAAGGTGTGGCGGCAGCAGGGCACAGTGGAAAGCTTGATTAATGACCTCCACTGTTGTTTACCTTTTACCTTTTGTTGCATTATCTCTTCGACTCACGACATAGTGGTACAACTCACCGCTGATCCCACTGAGTACATGAAGTATTGAACAAGACCAAAAACAGGTTTTGCAAGCATCCTTACGGTTGATTATGAAGCTTCAAAAATTCTTATTGGGCTAGATTGAAATCTCGTTTGTGGGAAAGTAGACAATTCATTCATTTCATTCACGAGGCCTTATATTATTTTATTGTGATTTTTATATGTTTGACATCTGAATGTCAACAGCCACAAATTATTTTTGATTTTCAATGATGAACCATTTGTGCCTTTTAAACAATAACAGACAGTTTATCACTTTTTATTTCTGGCCACACTCTGGCAAAAGTTTGTGATTGATTTTTTTTTTAGATTTAATTCTCCTGTTCATTACATTCTGAATGGAACTCATTGACCCAAGTGCTTGAAATGCAAGTGCTATTTTGGAGAGTATTTTGAGCAATGATCAATATTGCATTAATCCTTCTTCCGTACCAGAAACATTTATCTACTCACTTCTAGATTTCAACCATGTTTCACACAGAACTTTACTTCATATAGTGCAGACATAGTTGCTTTACCACTTGCGTATTTGTAACAAGAGTCATCACGTTATTATCACCTAATAATAATTTGAGCCAGAATGTAGGTAAAGGCAACCCTTGACTGCAAAGCCACAGGACATTTTGCTAGCACTCACATGAAGTAACACACTATATGTTTCAGAATACTTGAAATAAGTTACAGATGGCCGTTTTGGCAGAACAATAATGTAACATGTCAGCGTACGTTCTTCTTGTCTGTGCTAAAAATGCTCCAAACAAGGTCTGTGTTTGATTGTCAAATTGTCCAAAAAAAAAAGACTTCGGTGTTAACAGTACATATTAGTTTTACAATGAGCTCAACAGTTCAATGCGCTTGTTCTCTTGATGGCCATTTTGTTGGCTCTACCAAAGACCAAAAACTGTGCCGGAACCTTTTGAGATCAATTCATGTGAAATGACACGTTTCCATTTGGAAAGTCAAATGTCATCGTGTCGCGTCTCGGCCCGTTTTGGCTCACTGAAGCATCCGGTTGATGTGGTTAGCTGGCGGTACAAGTAGGAACATGGTGAAGACACATTTATCATCCTGCAGACTCCAGGGCTGTAACACTGCCTGCTTGGAAATGTTGGGCATAGTCAGTCGGAGTGGGGGGGTGGGGGGGGGGATAGTAAACAGCTTATGAATTGCATGGCAAACATTTACATGAATAGAAAATAAGTGAATTGGGGAAAATGAGTAATTGATCACTTCCAAAGTCACCTCACATCATTACTGATCATGTCCAAGAAGATATGAATGGAGGCGATAATGTGTTCACTGCACTGTTTTGTGTGCTTGCACATAACGTAACCTGTTCCTCCAGCTCCCCACAGTCGGTCACAACTTAAAGCTGGCAGCAATGAGCAGAAGTCAACTTGTCAACCACTTGATAAAAGTCGACTGTACGTTCCAATGTTTGCATGCCCTGTTGCCATAGTAAATCCATTCATTTGAAACTTTAGACGTTAGAGAGATGTACGGACACGCGCCGTCTTTGTAAGACATTGTGACGCTAGGCCAACTCTTTCTCTTTTTCCAAGATGTGTCTCACCTGATGTACTGTAGCTGTCCTGAGATGATCTCTGGTTTGCTTTTTAAACAGTACAAAGAGAAGTTTGAGCTCGCGGCAGTGCTACACCCAACAGTCCAAGAGCATGTCAAATGCATTGAGTCTTATCCCCTGAAAAGTTTGAACTACATGATATGAACTGGATATGTGGTCATTTGAGATTGATTTGTAGGCCAGTACTTGCTTTTTTGGAGAACCCCTGTCATCTTTTGATGGCTGGAGAGTTTGTGTCTGGTCAGTTTTAAAATCCCTTACAATGACAGACGTCTATCCTTTGGTCAAACAGTAGAGTGAACCTCAATTTTTGAATGCAAAGTGTTCTGAGATCAAACTTTTACTTTCTTCGTATTTTAAGATATCTTTTCATTTTCTACAGCGCCTGTCTTCATGGGGGACACGGCTGAGCTGCATGGAACCAGGTCACCACGCAATCGTAGGGTGCCAATAGACAAATGACCATTTACACCTTTGAGCAGGCCCTGATTGGCCAGTCTGGAGCACCCGGAACATTCTCGATGGGCCACTAGGGGGCGCTACTTCAGCCCGCAGCTTCATTTCGAAACCAGCAAAGAAATAGCTTTTATAGACCTAAGCAGATGCAGAGTGACTAACCTGGAACAAAGTTAATTTTCCCACTTTGTTGGACTAGTTTACAGACTGTTCGGGCCACCATTTTATGCACAATGTCGATGAATGGATAATAGATGCATTCAATTTTTTAATTTAAAAGTGTGTTCATACTCAAAGTGTTGATGAAATGCATGAATGAAACAGAAGAGTGTATAAAAAAAGCTTTAAGTTCAGCAATGCATTTTGTTGGACAAAAAAAAAAAACCCTCTGGTGTTCATTTTAGAAACATGCCAACATTTTTTATGTGCACCCCCTATATATCCACCCATCCATTATCTGATCCAGTTATCCTCACGGGGGCCGCGGGCAGGTTGGAGCCTATCCCAACTGTCTTCGAGTAGCAGCACCCTGAACTGGTTACCAGCCAACCACAGGGCGCCCTCACACTCACACCGAGGGACAATTTAGTGTCTTCCATCAAACTGCCATGCACGTTTTTGGAAAGTGGGAGGAAACTGGACTACCCGGAGAAAACCCACACAGGCACAGGAAGAACATGCAAAAACTCCACACAGGAAGTCCGCACCCCATGACCTATGCACTGTGCGGCCGGCGTGCTAACCACAATACTAACTACAATACAACTACAACCACAATGCAAGAGCTTAATTAATACTTTTTTTCAAAATCAATTAAGCCAGTAGTGTAAGCCAATAATGCCTGAGCAATATCTTTGTAAAGGGAGACATTATTATACAATTTTTACATATTGAACCCCAATAGGTTGTGCAGATTTACCTAATATTATGCCCACAGTTACTTAATAGTTAAATTTGTTTTGCACGAACGTGAGGGTGCACACAATATTACAGAGGCACTATGTTCCTTTTCTCGAAATGATTAGGAAACATCCATCTAAACGGCTCACCTGCTGTCCACCCAACACAGAGAACACAGTGGGGGGTATCGCAAGTGCCCCTGATTGATGATCATAGGTCCCGCAGGAAGTAACCCCGCCACCATGAAGGAGTGTTTTCTGAACCCCAAGTGGTATCCGGGAAAACATGAGCGACTTCAGTCAGGGAGCATGTGCATGCTCATCGGCCGTGCTAATGTTTGGACTTAGTGAGTCTCGTGGGGCTTTGCTGCCAAAAGGGGAGGAAAGGAATCAGGGGCAACAAAACACACCATAGAGAGGACCCCCAAATCTTACAACCTGCCATAAAATTGGAACAGTGGGACATTTCCTTGAGCGACCCGACCAGAACTATTCATACAAATAATAAGCAGATGAAAATACTTTTAAATGATAAATCCGCGTAATTCAGAGGTCATACTGTATGGCAACAGATTATAATATTATGACCTAAAATTATGTATAGCCTACTCTAAATATTGTGCTGTTCATTTAATGTCCTATAATTACTTCACACACAGACACACACACACTCATTGTAAGATATCGGTATGTATAGTCATAAAGAGTCACATATTGTCATGTAATGTAATAATATTCCAGTATTCTGTCTATGTCATTTCAATCACGATGAAAATCATTCTGGGATGAGCACAGACCAGTCGCTTCATATGGCAGATTGTTTCTACATATAAAGTCCTATATCATCTAATTTCCACAAATGTTACAGAACAAGAAACACAGAGCGATGAATATGTTATTTTTCAGTGTTGTTATTTTTTTAATTGCAAACATGCATCAGGAGGTCACTGAAGGACGATCTATCCATTTAATTGCGACTGCTCTTGTCCTCTTTGGGGTCCCGGGCGATCTGGAGCTTATCCCATCTGACTTTAAACCAGAGGACTGGTTGCCAGTCACTTTCAGGACCCACAAAGACACATATCCACTCACACTCACACATCCATAATTCTGACTTTTAATCGAACCTATTATGCCTGTTTTTGGAACATGCGAAGAAGAGAACCTATGCAACCATTGGGAGGATGTGCCATCACAATCCAGGAGGACCTGGGAAGCGAACCCCTATTTCACTGTGCTGCCGCAATTTTAAACTGTATAGACAGTTTTAACCCTTTCGTGCACCGTGCAACCTGATAACATGATAAGCCGTCCATTGTCGTAACCGCTGTCCCTGAAAGGGTTAATATATATTAATAATAATTCCTGCAATAATTCACCAACAGACCAAAGGGCAACTCTATATTTTGTAATATGTATGAACTCAATAAATAAATAAAAACAGGATCAGATGGGCTCTTCACTCCTTTGCAAACGCTTCTGCAGTATAACGTCGTTATGTAATGGCCTGATTTATTTCACAATCTAGATGACGACAGCAATGGGTTGGCCAAACACATTCTTTCCTGACCACAAAGTCCTCCTTTAATTCACAACCATCCATGTTTGTTTGCAGAAGAAAAGGCCAACACCTCGTGTGGATTTTTCATCGTACTTTTTATTTTATTTTTACTTTTTTAATTCAATTACTTTTAATTCATTTTATAATGGAGGGGGTGGGGGGGTTCTCTTCATTTTTTAATGCTTCAATTTAGTTTAGTTGTATCAGTTTGAGGATTTGTTTTATTTATTCATGAATTGTTTATTTATATAATATGGAGTATGTGTCAAATGCAAGATAAAAAAAGGTCACTCATTATTGTGTAGTAAGGTAAACTGCGATTTTCAAACTACTATTTGAGCTTCCTTCTTCAGTAGTGACATATAGCTATACCAAAATAAAGGCATTTAAAATAATCCCCGGAAGCTCATGTGTGATATTTATTGCCAAAGACAAAAACTAAGGGCA